ACAGGCCCATGGAAGTCATTACAGTGTTGACATTGAGGTTTACATATCAAGGAGACAGTAGTTTTATAATTGTGATAAAAAAAAAATAGGCACCTCCCAAATGTCCCATAATTTATTTAATTATGGTGATACATTTGTAGCCACTTAAAATTATACAGATAGCCCTGACCAGTCTGGCTCAGTGGATAGAGCGTCGGCCTGTGGACTGAAGAGTCCCAGGTTCGATTCCGGTCAAGGGCATGTACCTTGGTTGCGGGCACATCCCCAGTAGGGGGTGTGTAGGAGGCGGCTGATCCATGTTTGTCTCTCATGGATGTTTCTAACTCTCCACCCCTCTCCCTTCCTCTCTGTAAAAAAATCAATAAAATATATTTTTAAAAATTATACAGATAAATATTTTCTGATATGGAAGGATATTATATATTAAGTGAAAGATAAATAGGTTACAAAGCCGGATGTATCTTATAAACCCACTGGTAATTAAGGATACATGTATATCTCTTGGGAGAAGTCTGGAAGAACATACACAAAGATATTCATAATTATATCTGTGTAATGGGAGTATTTATAGTTTCTTATTTTCTTTTTTCGCATTTGTATTTTCTAAGTTTTCTGTAATGAACAAGTATAAAAAAACCATTTTTTTTCTTTTTAAAGAAAATGGAAAGTGTCTATCAGAGACTCCTTCTCTGTTTCCAGGTTTGTTCACAAGTGTTCTTGCCCGCTTGGGAAATAGCCACTTGGGTCACCAGGTGGTTTGAATCGCCTTTCCCTAGCCCATCTGACCTACCTCTCCTCCTGTGTTGGTCAGCTTGAGCTGCCATCACAAACTGCCACAGACTGGTGGCTTAAAGAACTTTTATTTTCTCACTGTTTCAGAGGCTCGAAGTCTGAGGTCAAGGTGTCAGCAAGTTTGGTTTCTTCTGAGGCCTTTCTCTTTGGCTTGCAGACGACCTCCTTATATCTGTGTCCTCTCTTTCACGGTGCACATCCCTGGTGTCTCTGTGTGTGTCCAGATTTCTTCTTATTCTCATCAGATTGCATTAGGGCCCACTCTACTGTTCTCATTTCAACTGCATCACCTCTTTCAAGGTTCAGTCTCCTAATACAGCCACATTTTGAGGTACCAGGGGGTTATGGCTTCAACATAGGAATTTTAGAGGACACAATTCAGCTTATGAGCTGATGAAAAGTGCCTCCTGATGAAAATGCTCCCCCTCCCACACACATACCCTCTCTGGTGACCCCAAGAATTGGCATTCAAAGCCAGTCTATTCATTCTTCCTCTACATCTGATATCTCATCAGATTGACAAGTGGAAAGTTTTCTTTGTCCACTTATGCCTTCCATGACCTTGTTGTGAATAACTGACCATAAGGGAACAGTAATACCACACCCCACCCCACCGTATATAACTGCCACTGCTTGTTCATGTGTGCGTTCCCGGTTTCCAGTAGGATAGGGTGATAGGACAAGCCTGATTACACTGCTCTCACATAGTGGGGGAAACCGCAAGGGCACACTGTGGCTCTGAACCCATTGCTCTGTCTCTGAGCCTAGCGCTATTCACTCGAACTGTCCTCTTTCTGACATTTGGGAATTCCAGTTGTCAGTTTCTCCTTGGATTCTTTAAGGGCTTGGGCTGGGAGAAAAAGGTTTTGATGGGGCTGCTGATGAGCTGGTTACATGATTTTGAGCAAGGTTCTTAAGTTCTGAGCCTTAGCTTATTCATTTAAAAAAGAGGATATGTTATACTTTACCTTTTTGAGTTATTGTGATGTCTCAGTAATAACTGGCAAAGATTCCAAGGCTCTCTATATGAATCTGCTTCTTTTGTTAATCTTACTAGAAGCCCAGTGCATGAAATCTGTGCACTGGGTCAGGGGGAGGGGGTGTCCTTCAGCCCAACTTGTACCCTCTCCAATCTGGGACATCCCTCTCACAATCCGGGACTGCTGGCTCCCAACCGCTCGTCTGCCTGCCTGCTTGCCTGACCACCCCCTAACCACTCCCCTGCCAGCCTGACCGATGCCTAACTGCTCCCCTGCTGGCCTGATCGCCCCCAACTGCCCTCCCCTGCAGGCCTGGTCGCCCCTAACTTCCCTTCCCCACAGGTCATCTTGTGGCAGCTATCTTTGAACACATGGGGGTGGCCATCTTATGTGAGGGTGTGACAGTCAATTTGCATATTGCCTCTTTATTATATAGGATCGTACCAAGGGTTATATATAAAATAAGGCACAATGTTGGCTTGGAGTTTGAGGGTGTTCGTCATAATTTTTTTGTTTTGTTTTGTGTTCAGTTTCCATTTAAGAGACTTGGAACCAGAGCTTGGTCTTTCCTCCTGCTGGAGCCTTTGCTTTGGGTACACTGACCCCATGCCCTCTCTGACTCTTCCCCAGGAGGTGCCTCAGTGCAGAATGCCATGCTGTTGGAGCCAGACAAAGACAATGGTTGGAGGATTCCCTTTAACAACCATGAGGGAGGCTGTGGGGCTGCTATGCGAGCCATGTGCATCGGTCTCAGGTTCCCTTACCCCTGCCAGCTGGACACACTGATCCAGGTGAGCATCGAGAGTGGCCGAATGACCCACCACCACCCCACCGGCTACCTGGGAGCCCTTGTGTCTGCTCTTTTTACAGCCTATGCTGTGAATGGCAAGCCTCCCTGGCAATGGGGAAAAGGACTGATGGAGGTGCTACCAGAAGCTAAAAAGTACATTGTCCAAGCAGGCTACTTTGTGGAGGAGAATCTTGAGCACTGGTAAGTTTATAGGTGCATACTCCTGCTGGAAAAGCGTTGCACCTGTGTGCACACGTGCGTGCCTGTGTATGCCTAGAGTTCTTAGATCATAGCAACTGTCATGGTTCTCACCATCCAGTTTTGTCATCTACTGCATCCAGCCCCCTCCCTTCCCACCTGCTAAGGACTTCAAGTTCTAGCAGTGGTTGCCACTGGGTGGCCCAGTGAAGACCTCAGTGAGTAGTGCAGCTGCAGTGCTTCCCTTGTGTGTAGGGATCCTGTTCTTTCTATAGTCTTTGTGGCTATCCTAGACTGAGATGAACTTTCCCGTCCATCTCCTGGAACTTGTTTTTCAGTGTTGACTTGCTAATTAGTAAGAAAAGGTGGTAAAACCTCATTTTCCCCTTTTTCTGAGTTTACTTCACATTGCCTTTCTTAGAATAAAAAGGTCCAGGGGCTTCTTGCTGAAATCACCCATGATCATGATATTCCAAAGTTCCCTTTTGAAAAAACAACAACACACAACTCTATAAGAAGATGATGTGTTCATTAGTTTGACTGTAGTAATCATTTCACCATGTATATGTATATCAAATCATTATGCAGTACACCTAAAATATACATAATTTTTATTAGAAAATACAATAAAATGTATAAGGATAGACTAAATAAAGTGTGCCCCCTGAAAGGTGACACTTGACATTATTCTCAACTCAAGAAAGACACATCTTTAATTCTCACCTTTAGCTTGCTATATGTCTTTCTAATTTAGCAATAGGCATCAGTGCCTTATTTATATCAATCCTTAGCAAAACTTTATTGAATGGCTCTTACTTAGGTGAGTTCATTTTAAATTTTTAATGTCATTTGTGATATTAATACAAGAAGTTGAAGTCATCTTGGAGTTTTTTTTCCTGTTCACACATCCATCTGGTACCTTTCCTTATGGTTATCAACTTTTCAATTGACTGTAGATTGTTTTCCTTCCTACAGGTCCTACTTCCAAGACCAATGGGAAAGGTACCTAAAACTTAGAGGGATTTTGGATGGCAAATCAGCCCCTACCTTCCCCAAGCCCTACGACGTGAAGGAGAGGGATCAGTTCTACACCTCTGTGAGCTACTCTGGCTGGGGCGGCAGCAGTGGACACGATGCCCCCATGATTGCCTATGATGCCATCCTGGCTGCAGGAGACTCCTGGAAGGAGCTTGCCCACCGAGCCTTTTTCCACGGTGGAGACAGTGATTCCACAGCTGCCATTGCTGGCTGCTGGTGGGGAGTTATGCATGGTTTTAAAGGAGTGAGTCCCTCCAACTATGAGAAACTAGAATACAGAAACCGGCTGGAGGAAGTAGCTAGAGCTTTATATTCTCTTGGGTCAAAGGAAGATACTGTAATTGCCCTTTAGGGAGAGAGGATGTTCATTTCTGGTGGTTTCTTCTCTTGTGTAGTCCCCTTTCTGCTCAGTTTCTTTTCACTTTTTCCAAAGTCAAGAGTCTTAACCTTGTACGTATTCAGGGAATTTTGAGGTAACAAGTCCCTGGGGCCCCTGAAACTCAGTCTTCCCAGGCTCATTCTGTTCGCCCTGAATCTATCTGTCTTCCTCGCCTGAAGGGTCTTTAACTCGGGTGATGCGGTCAGCATCTCCCAAGCTAGAAATCTCATAGCCTCCTATTTGCATCTTCATTTTTATCAGCTAATCTTTCATTCAGTTTTTTTCTGTTGTTTCAGGTTGGGTTACCCCAAAAGTGGACTCTGAGACAAGGATTTGAGTACAGATAGTTTGAGAGGTGATACCAGGGACACTGGTAGGACCATGGGGATGTGAGACAGGGAAGGGAGGGGAGACAGTACAAGGTGCAGTAATGAGCAGGTTACCACTATCAGCAGCTGGGACTCGGTCCATGTGGGTCCTTTGTGTAAGGCATTCCTCATGGTGGTCCCTCCTGAGAGACAAGCAAACCTGGAGTATTTATCCTCCGACTTCCATCTGACATTGGTGTCCTCACTCTTAAGCCCCTGGTGCTTCTCAGCCTCCTCTTGTGCAAGGGAAACATTAATGCCCTCAAGTAAAGACTCCGATGCTTGCAGTGGTTAGCTGTAAGGTGCATGGGGACAGCCAGCAGTGTACACAGATGATTCTGTCTCCTAAATATCCTTCAAATCTGTCACCTCTTTTACCTTTTTGCAGCAAGTATTTTTTCACTTGGATTTCTCACGTCTGCGGAGACGCTGATCCTGGGCATGGCACTTAACATGTTAATAGTTTGTTGTTGCTTATTTACTTGTCTTTATTCTCCTCTGTACAGAACCTAGCACACAGAAAATGTGTAATCAGTCTACATTACGTGAATGTGGTTTGTTAGCCTCCTATCTCCAATCTTGCCATCTTCGTTGCCCTCCGGAGTTTTCTTTACAAATAACAAATTGGTCATGCTGCACTGCTAATGATGTCCAATGAATACATCGCCCCTCTCTTCATTTCCTGAGAAGTTTGTACTCATCCTTCAAGCCCCAGCTCACGTATACCCTCTAGATCAGTGATGGCGAACCTATGACATGCGTGTTAGAGGTGACACGTGAACTCATTTTTTTTTGTTGATTTTTCTTTGTTAATTTTTTACAGAGAGGAAGGGAGAAAGATAGAGAGTTAGAAACATCAATGAGGGAGAAACATCGATCAGCTGCCTCCTGCACATCTCCCACTGGGGATGTGTCTGCAACCCAGGTACCTGCCCTTGACCGGAATCAAACCTGGGACCCTTCAGTCCGCAGGCTGACGCTCTATCCACTGAGCCAAACCAGTTTCGGCGTGAACTCATTTTTTTTGGTTGATTTTTCTTTGTTAAATGGCATTTAAATATATAAAATAAATATCAAAAATATAAATCTTTGTTTTCTATGGTTGCAGATATCAAAAAATTTCTATATGTGACACGGCACCAGAGTTAAGTTAGGGTTTTTCAAAATGCTAACACGCCAAGCTCAAAAGGTTCACCATCACTGCTCTAGATGAAACCTGCTCCGATTATTCAGGCACAATCCCTGCTGGCTTTTACAGCCAGAAGTTGTGGGGACTTCTCTTCCTGACACTGGAATCCTGGGCTGGGGGGCCTGGTGTGGGGTTGGAACCTGTCACTCCTCAGGGGGACCTTTGTAGACAAAATATCCCTCCCAAGTTTTGTTGTTGTCAATCCTCACATGAGGATATTTTTTCCATTGCTTTTCAGAGAAAGTGGAAAGGAGGGAGGGAGAGAGGAAGAGAGAGAGTGAGAGAGAAACATTGATGTGAGAGAAACACATCAACTGGTTGCCTCCCTCACATGCCCTGACCAGGGGTGTGGCGGGGAGTGAACCTGCAAACCAGGTATGTGCTCCTGACCAGGAATCAAACACAAGACCCTTTGTAGTGTGCGCTAATGCTCCAACCACTGAGCACACCTGCCAGGGCTCTCCTGATTTTTATCTGCCACACATGGGTGTGTGATCAACCCGCTCCGAGTCTCTGCCCCTCCTACCAATCTTGATGTGGCTTCTCCTTTAATTCTTTAGTTGTAAGACTTCCATTCAGCTTGGTTTCAGTTGTTTTTGAATGATGGTTGTTCTGAGTTTAGTTGTAATTTTGATGTGGTTGTGGGAGGACGCAAGTACAGCATTCACCTACACCGACATCTGGACAGGAAGGCCCTTTCTGAGTTTTGTCCTACCAGTGGTTAGTAAAGCCTGCATTTGCAAGGCGGAGCACTAGAATTCTATTCGCACTGACCAAACAGCAGACCCGAGATGCTTAAATCTTATAATATAGAAAAGGGCAAAAGAGTGTATTTAACAAGTGGAATGTGAGGCATGGCCTGTTTTGTAATTGGCGAATGGTCTGAATAAGAAGCAAACATAAAATGATTTTATTTTTCTCCAACTCAAGCCTCATGCATACTCTTTTGAAGCTGCTTTTCCTGTCTCTCAGCATCATCTTGGGCAGATCACACAGTTTTTTGGTCTTGGGGTCGGGTGGCGAGTCTTAAAAACGCAATCCAGTCCATCCCAGTCCAGTTTTTTTAAATTTCCGCTTTATTGAGGTATAATTGACATACAAAAATTATATTTAAAGTGTACATTGTGATTTGATAAATTTGTACATTGTGAAAGGATTCCCTTCATCTAATTAACACCCCATCATCTCACATATTTATCTTTTTTGTGTGTGTATGAGAACATTTAAGTTCTACTCTTAGTAAATTTCAATTATACAATACAGTGTTATCAATTATAATCACCACGTTTTAAGTCAGATCCTTATTTATCTTATAGCTGAAAGTTTGTACCCTTTTGCCAACTTCTTCCTATTTTTCCCAATCCCCAGACCCTGACAACCACTTTTCTACTCTCTTTCTATGAATTTGACTTAAATAAAAAAATTCCAAATATAAATGATACAAAGTAGTATTTGTCTTTCTTGTCTGGCTTATTCCCTTAGTATAATGCCCTCACGGACCATACATGTTGTGGGGGGAAAAAATAAATATATATATGAATGTGTTGTGGAGCACAAGAGACTTGGTTGGAAAGTTGTGAGGAGGACATTCTGAGAAAAGGGAAGTGTGTGGAAGGCCGCCTGCCCTGTTTATCGGAATTCCGACTTAGGGGAGACTTCGGGGAGTGTCGAAGGCGGCGCCCCTAATTATTCCTTGACCTTTCCAAACAGGTCTGTGCATATGAGACCCCCGGGTGTTTACTGGAACCCCATGCTTAAGCCCTGGATGCCCTTGCCTAGAGGACAGGTGTCCTCTCAAGAGTACTCACTCTACTGATTGTATCTAAAGGTAAAAATTCCAATAAAAGCCTAATGAAGCAGGCATTTGGGGCTGCCTGGCTTCTTCAGCCGGGCTGTCCCTTAGCCCTCTCCCCCACAGTGAAACTGTGTCAGAGTCATCTGTTCATCCGTCGTTCAGGGGCTGCTGGTCAGCCCCGGCAAGGTGGTGCCCCCTGTGAGGAGCCCTGGCATGAACGGATAAGTAAAATGTGAGATGATTTTATTTATTTATCCATTCATCTGTTGAAAACACTTAGGTTGTTTGCACATCTTGGCTATGCTGCATAATGCTGCCGTGAGCATAGGAGTGCAGATACCCCTTCAGGATCCTGTTTCATTTCCTTGGAGATACACCCAGAAGTGGGAATCCCAGTGCAGTTTAATCAATTCTAAAACTTCCATGTCATGCTCTTCTTTCTCCCCACCAAGGTCAGTCCTGGCCCAAGAGACTTAGAGGAGAAATGGGGACCTGGATGCCTCTTTCCTTTCTCCCCTCCCTCTTCTGGGGTTCCTTGCTTCTCTCCACGTTCCCCTAAGACTGGCCTCATGGGCAGAGCACTGGTTTGAAAGGCTCAAAAAGGCTCAAACCAGCTGTCTTCTGAGGGGTCCACTCAACATGAGGGAAACTCATCCCTCCTGGTCACAGCTGCCCGGCCTGCCACTGTCTTTACATTGCCCCCGTCCTGCTTACATAGGCCCTGAGGACAGATCAGGCTGCCCAGTGGACAGCTAACTTGGAAATAGATGCCACTATCACCTTCATGAGGTTACCAGTCTCGGGTGTAAACCCTCATTGGGTTATTGTGAGAGGTAAGGAAGATTCCCCTCCTGTACTCCCCCATCCCCCACGCCCCGCATCCCCTCAGAACTATAACTCATGAGTTTATGTTTTTAGCTGGTGGAGGTGCAGGAGGGAGGTCTGACCACAGAGCAGTTCTGCTACCTTCTAAATCTTACAGGAATTTGTTTTTTAAATCCTTCCATTCTTTTTAGAACATGGGGAGGGGAGTAGGAGGATGGGGGCGTAGTATTTGTTGTTTTATGGTATTAGACTTTAGCCACAATTGGAGACAATAGGGAAAGACTTTAGAGAACCGGCTATATTTGCTTTGCAGGTTCTCACTCTTCATCACAGGCATACTTCAAAACGAGTTTAGACTTTCAGACTCCATTTTCTCAAGCCTCAAAACTTCTTCCCCAAACTCAACTGGTGACCCTGCTTCCTATTTCTCTGAGGGAAAATGGAACAGTCAGCAGAGAGCAGTTGCACACTCCCGTCACCACCTCTGCCCATCCACCTGCATCTGGGTCCATAGTCTTTGGCTTCTCTCCTGACTGTGAATGTTGGTGTGTGAGTATGTAGGGGGGTTGAGAGTGGGGGTGGGGGTGGGGGAGATGGGAGGAGAGAGGGATGGAGAAAGAGAAGGTGAGAGGATAAGAATGAACAGGGGAAAGAGATAAGAAACAATTATAAGCACAATGTTACAGAAATCAATAAACATGATCTGACACAGTATACATTTGTCACGCTTACCAAGTTAATATATATAAACCGCTATGTGATGGTGCTTCATTTGCTTGCTTTGTTACCTAAGATTGCTAGATGTTGTTTAGCAGTCTTGGCAATATGTATCTTTTTAAGATCTGCAAAATTAACATTGGCCTCATCCATCCACCCTTCTTCAAGCTTTTTCAACCACCACATTCTCCATTTATTTTTCTTTATCTCTCCAGGGCAAGTAAATGTGCCCCCCCCTCTCCCCCCAGCCACAGAGCTCCTGGGAATGTGGGGAGAGGAATGGAAACTGATTTCACAGTCATCCAGCCCACTGGGTTAGCTCCTTGAGGTGTGGCTGCTGGAGTCTGGTTACGGATCCAGAGGTCATCCAGAGGTCATCCAGACACGGCATGGGGGGTAGCCTTGTCATCCTTTTTTCATCTTCGGCGTTGGTAGTTGGGAAAGTGACATGTAGGGAGTAGATGAGACTGTTTCCATTTGGAGAAGGAAAAAGAAGAGGGGGAGAGAGTTGCCGTATGTCTGGCAGTTCACCACAGCCCATTAACAGAAGAAGAAATTAGGCTTAGAGAAGTCTCCGTTTGTCCAAAGTCACACGGTGGATGAGATGGAGCAGGACTGTTTGTGTCCAAAGGCTTTTTCCTTTGCACACCCTCCACTACACTCTCATTATTAGCTATAATTAGATTTTTTTTCCTAAAATTCACAGCCAAAATGAAACCCAAGAGTGAGATGGTGACAGCAGCAGCCTGTGCCCTCTCTTCACCTTCCCACAACTAGGAGGTAAAGTCAAGAGGAAAGCTAGTTATGGGCTTGAGACCCAAATTTTGGACAAGGGTAGGGACGGGGCAGAGCTGAGACCAGGCAAAAACGAAATGGAGCCTCTTCACTCTCCTCTCTTCTCTCCTCAAAGGGCCTCCTTTCCTCTGCCACCAAGGAGACCCCGCCCAGTGCCTGGGTCATGATGTGGATTTCTCTCGGTGCTCAGATACACTTGCCTCACTTAAGATTCCTACTCCACGTTTATGGGCATCGGTATTATCATGTGTACGAGCTGGGTGTCCTCAGGGGTCGCAGGTTCGATTCCGGTCAAGGGCATGTACTTTGGTTGCGGGCACATCCCCAGTGGGAGTGTGCAGGAGGCAGGTTGTCTGG